AGTCTGTAGAAGAGCAGAGGAAGTCACGCCCCGTCCTCCAGACATCATCAGGAGAGGCCAGCCGGGCTTCCTGCCTGCTGTGCGCTGGCTGCAGGGAGAGAGAGGTGATGTGAAAAATCCTAGTCCCGAGCTAGAGGTAGGGGATTCAGATTTTCGCGCCCCCCCCCCTGCTCTGGCGCCCTAAGTCGGCCGCCTGACCCGCCTTATGGACGTGCCGGCCCTGTCCTTAGGCTGTAATGTAAACACAGCATTTTCTCTGAAAAAAAAACAGTGTTTACTGCAAAAAGCCTGAAGGTAATGATTCTACTCACCAGAACAAATTCAATAATCTGGTGTCTATGGCCACCCTGTAAAATGGCGTCCGGTACTGCTGAAAAGTGTAACTCCTACTATTATTAGGTAAACTGGAGAGGTAATCTATACATTATTCTCCATTAGTTACGAGGCATAATTACACGGATGATGTCACTATGCAAACAATAAATAATTCGAAAACAATTACTGTTTAGACAATGCACCGCATGGTTTAATTTTACCAGGAATACAAATTAATGTGTTATGGTAACCATTTATCAAACAACTATCTACAAACTTAGTATGGAAGTAAACTGTCTTAATTTTAAGAAAAAAACACACGCAATTCTTTTATATAAACCACATTTCCTGTGGGTGTCTTTTGAGGTAACATGCAAACCATATCTTTAAATGTTATCTTTTCTTTGACAAACATTTATTAACAAGCTAGCTGATTCATGGCCGGCGTTGATAAACCTCACTTTCTTACAGGTAATCTGTCTTTCTTCCTGCTTTTGTCATTATTATTATGTTATTATTTATATAGCGCCTACAAATTCTTTGCAGTGGGTGGACTAACAAACATGTAATTGTAACCAGACAAGTTAGACACACAGGAACAGAGGGGTTGAGGGCCCTGCTCAATGAGCTTACTTGCTAGAGGGAGTGGGGTAAAGTCATCCTAGTTACCCCCTTGTATCCTCTTCTAATTTTGTTCGACTCTTACATTTTAGTTTAATTCCCCAGGGGTTTATTCACTAAATTGGAAATTGTGTAGAATTAAATAAATAAACAAGTTGGGGGAAAAAGTTGGAGTTGGAGATTTTCCCGAAACCTGCTGTTTTAGCCTATGGAATGCAACACCTTGCTCAATTCCCTGTCTAGTAAGCAAATGAGAATAGCATCCAACATTTCACCTGGACATAAAGGTAGACTTTAGCAGATATAACTCCAATTTAAGTATGTATTTTCCAATTGTGGGTATATCTAAACACAGCTTGCAAAAGCTGCATATCTCTTGTCAGTGTAAGCCCTCCTCTTCTAACTCCGCCCACACTTCCTGTGGCTGTCCAATCACAGACTTCCCAATACAGCTCAATGAGAAGTCTTTGCAAGGCAGGTGCTCTGCCTGTTGAGTTTATCTACATTAAGCTAAACAAACCAGGAAGTAACAAGACCAATTGTCTGACTGACAGCCAGGGGTAACTATATAAATTTACAATACTAATATAATAATATAATACATAATATTATACAAATAAAAAGACACCTAAAGTGCTTTAAAGGGACACTAGAGTCACCAGGACAACTACAACTTGATGGGAATACTAAAACATATAATTTTAAAAAGGCCAATTTCAATAAGTTAAGGGAAGCTTTACAATATATTGACTGGCATAAACTCTTTAGTGAAAAGAACACTGAGGATAAATGGATCATCTTCCAACAAATATTACAAAGGTACATTTCTCAGTATGTACCATTGGGAAATAAATATAAAAGAAACAAATTAAAACCAACATGGCTTAGTAGAGAAGTAAAACAAGAGATTACAACTAAGAGAAGGGCATTTAAAGCATTTAAATCGGACAAATCAGATGCATCTTATAAAAGATATAAGGATGCAAATAATGCGTGCAAAAAGGCAATTAGACTTGCTAAACTTCAAAATGAAATAATGATAGCTGAAGAGAGCAAAACCAACCCCAAAGCATTTTTTAAGTACATAAATTCTAAAAAAAAACAAAATGAAAGTGTAGGTACACTAAAAACTGAAACGGGGGTGTTAATTAATGAAGACCAGGAAAAGGCAGGAATTTTAAATAACTTTTTCTCCTCCGTATATATTAAGGAAGAACCCATGGCAATAGATGTGCAAATGATTGCTACTAAAAACTTGCAGAATAATTGTAATTGGTTAACTCAAGACAAGGTGCTGCAGCAACTAAAGAAAGTTAATATAAACAAAGCTCCAGGGCCTGACGGTATCCATCCACGTGTACTTAAGGAACTAAGTGCAGAAATAAGTGAACCTCTGTTTTTAATCTTTCAAGATTCTTTTCTTTCAGGAAGTGTTCCGGAGGATTGCAGGAAGGCAGATGTGGTTCCTATATTCAAAAAGGGTTCAAAATCCTTGCCTGGAAATTATAGACCTGTGAGCTTAACTTCTGTGGCTGGTAAAATATTTGAAAGTTTATTAAGGGATAATATTCAAGAATTCCTTGAGAAGAACATGGTTATCAGCAAAAATCAGCATGGTTTTATGAAGCACAGGTCATGTCAAACTAACTTGATTGCGTTCTACGAAGAAGTAAGTAGAAGTATAGATCAGGGTGTTGCCGTGGATGTGATCTTTTTGGATTTTGCCAAGGCATTTGATACAGTTCCACACAATAGATTAGTGTTCAAACTCAAGGAAATCGGTCTAGATGAAAATGCTTGTTCTTGGGTAGAACATTGGCTTAAAAACAGAGTACAAAGAGTTGTCATTAATGGTAAATTTTCAAGCTGGACAGAGGTGGCAAGTGGTGTCCCTCAGGGGTCTGTTCTGGGACCCCTTCTATTTAACATGTTTATAAATGATCTTGAAGACAGCATTGAAAGTCATGTTTCAGTGTTTGCAGATGACACAAAACTTTGTAAAATAATACAATGTGAGCAAGATATTACTTTGCTGCAGAGGGATTTAGATAGACTGGGGGACTGGGCACTCAAATGGCAGATGAAATTTAATGTTGAAAAATGCAAAGTTATGCACTTCGGCGTAAAGAATACACAAGCAACGTATACCCTTAATGGAAGCGAATTAGGGATAACAACACATGAAAAGGACTTGGGAATTGTTATAGACAACAAACTATGCAACAATGTGCAATGTCAATCAGCAGTGGCCAAGGCCAGTAAGGTATTGTCATGCATGAAAAAAGGCATTCATTCTCGGGACGAGAATATAATTTTGCCTCTTTATAAATCACTGGTAAGACCACATATTGAATATGCTGTGCAATTTTGGGCACCTGTTCTAAAGAAGGATATTATGGCACTAGAAAAAGTGCAGAGGCGGGCTACAAAATTAATAAAAGGAATGGAACATATCGGCTATGAAGAAAGGTTAACAAATTTAAACCTATTTAGTTTAGAAAAACGTCGCCTGAGAGGGGATATGATAACATTATACAAATATATTCGGGGCCAATACAAACCATTGTGTGGAAATCTATTCACAAACCGGACTTTACATAGGACACGAGGCCATGCGTTTAGACTAGAAGAAAGAAGATTTCGCCTAAGGCAAAGGAAAGGTTTTTTTACTGTAAGAAGAATCAGGATGTGGAATTCTCTGCCTGAGGAAGTGGTTTTATCAGAGTCCATACAGATGTTCAAACGGCTACTAGATGCATACTTGCAAGAACAGAATATTCAAGGATATAATCTTTCAATGTAGGGTAATAACTGCTTGATCCAAGGATAAATCTGACTGCCATTCTGGGGTCAAGAAGGAATTTTTTTCCTAGCTTGTTGCAAAATTGTGCTTCAAACTGGGTTTTTTTGCCTTCTTTTGGATCAACAGCAAAAAACAAATGTGAGGAAGGCTGAACTTGATGGACGCAAGTCTCTTTTCAGCTATGTAACTATGTAACTATGTAACTATGTAACTAGTTGTTCTGGTGTGTATATTATGTCCCTGCAGGCATTTTGATGTAAACACTGTGTTTGGAGTGTTCATTTAATTTTAGGGTTGTGACTTAATAAGAATTTATGTAACTAAAATGTAATATGGAACACAAACAATGTATCTTATTTACAAAGACTGATTTCTAAGCACATTTATTATAGTTTAAAGACACATTACTGGGAGTATTATTGCTGTGGAGGTCTGTTATATGGGAAGTCTAGAGAGGCCATGTATTTTTAATACATGCAATTTGTAATGTTGAAACACCAGCTTTTTTTTTCTCTCTAAAAAAAAAAAAACGTACCCATACAATTCCTAAAGCTTTTACACAGGCGAGTGTCAGTAATCAAGGAAGAGTCTACCAATCAAGGGCGTCTCATTCTGGTCTTTGGATTTTTTTCTTTCTTGTTCCATAAATACCCTCTCCGTAATAGTTTATGGGAAAAGTAGTTACTAGCCAGTCACAATAAACTACCAGCTTCATACCACAGTGGCTATTAGTTTATTCACAGTCTGATTCACAAGTGTGTAAAACTGTGCTGTGTCCAGTGATCTACCAGATGTTCCTCCACACATCCATGAATCCACAGCTTGATTTTCTTCCACTGAGGAGAGAGATGTCAATCTAATGTGGCAAACTGGGGCATGTGTATAATGCAGATGCAAGTTGAAATGTTCTCCTTTGACAACTGAGAGCCAGAGGGCAGGCTTTTAGCTGCACTGTCTATTTGCAAATCATTGCACTTGAGTCATTCTCAGCGGGGAGACTATGTGCAGAGTACTCTCTGCACTGTAACATTTTGTTCTAGAGACCTTTTAAGCATCCGTCTCTCCCTTAAAGGGTTATTCTAACCACCATTACCAATTCTGTTTTTAAATACTACACATACTGAGAGCAGTAGACATGGACAAAATATGACTGTCGTCAGTGCGCACAGTGCGCTTGTCGTCAGTGCGCACAGTGCGCTTGTCGTCAGTGCGCACAGTGCGCTTGTCGTCAGTGCGCACTGTCGTCAGTGCGCACAGTGCGCTTGTGATGTGCTTCTCCCCTTGCAGCACTAACTGTCATGATCTCCTTTTATCAGTTGCCCGTTTTATCAGTTTTATCATTTACCATCTCTTTCTGATATATTTACCAGTTAGTGTTAACTATTTACCTTCCAGATGGCTGATGGATCAGAAGAAAACTGTTCTGGTATGCACTTAGACCTCAAATTAACATTTTTGGATACGCGTTACAAATAATTTAATATTTTTGGATAAACATTTCAAATAATTTTTTAAAAATATTAAAATATGATAAATCTGATTATATCGTTACAATGACACCTGTCAAGAGGTGGGATATATTAGGCAGCAAGATAACAGTCAGTACTTGAACTTTCTGTGTTGGAGGCAGGAAAAATGGGGAAGACCTGATAGACTTTGACAAGGGCCAAAAAGGACAGGATCAGAGCAACTCCAAATGGCAAGTCTTGTGGGGTGTTCCCGGTATGCAGTTGTTAGTACCTACCAAAAGTGGTGCAAGGAAGGGCAACTGGTAAACCAGAATTGGGGTCATGGGCGCCCAGGGCTCATTGATGCACGTGGGAATCAAAGGCTAGTCCGTCTGGTCAAATCACACAGAAGAGCTAGGGTAGCTAAAATTGCTGAAAAACGTAATGCTAGCCAAGATAGAAAGGTATCACAACACACATGAGTGTCAGAAGTGAACCATAGAGCAATGAAAGAAGGTTGCCTGGTCTGATGAATCACATTTTCTTTTAGATCAAGTGGATGGCGAGGTGCATGTGCGTCATTTATCTGGGGAAGAGATGGCAGCAGGATGCATTATTGGAAGCAGGCATGCCGGTGAAGGCAGTGTTATGCTCTGGGCAATGTTCTGCTTGGAAACCTTGGATCCTAGCATTCATGTAGATGTTGCTTTTACCCATAGCACATGCATGGAGATTGTTGCAGAACATGTACACCCCTTCATGGCAATGGTGTACACTGATGGCATTGGCCTCTTTCAGCAGGATAATGCACCCTACTACACTGGAAATAATTCAGGTTATTGCCTTGGCCTTCGAATTCCCAAGAGCTTAATCCGATTGAGCATATGTGAGAATTGCTGGAACAACAAATCTGTTCCAAGGCCTGCTGCTCATAACTTGTGCCAGATACCAGAGGTTCAGAGGTCTTGTGGAGTCCATGCCTCAATGCATCAAAGATGTTTTGGGAGCACAAGGGAGTCTAAGCGATATTTGGCAGGTGGTTTTAATGTTGTGACTGCTTAATGTACATAGATGCACACTAACAAACATAAATATATAGTTAGCAACACAGACATACAGTTACATACATACATGACTCAACTCACATACAGACACATACATATGAAGAAACCCAATCACTCATACATACAGTCATAAACATACACAGACATAAAAAAATGCACGCACTTACATACATGCGTGATAGAGAATCACAAATACAAACTCACATACATGCATGACACACAATCACACACAGTCAAATAGTCATTTACAGACACATGCTCAAACACAGTCAAATATATAAACACACAATCGCACACAGTCACATAAATACGTAGATTAGCCAGATACCCACAAATATATGTATCCTCATTATACATAGGGCTGCAGAGACACCAGGGTATAGTTTTGGGAAGAGACAATTTTTTGTCAAACTGGTTCTTAATAGTTTGATACAAATTTGGAGAACGATGCTCATAGACTCATTATAAGTAGTGAAATGAGTGTTAGTGGTTATGGTGCTTTGAGTGTTACTATAAAGTCATTTTGTTGAGTTCTCTCTAAAGGATACTACGTCCTCCAACAATTCTCCTTTTCCATCCTGTTTCGCATGGTCTTCACAACTCCGCATCGGCAAAGGGGACAGGACACAATACATGTTGTGCATTAGTGAAACTTCATTTTTATAGATTTGTCTAAAGAAGTAATTCCGCCAGTAGTTATACCTTTCTCCGCTCCCAACTCTGCCCCCACTGGCTGTCATCTTTGTAGCCAAACTGAACAGAGCAGAAATTTGGCATGCAGAATTCTATGGAGAATCTAAGGTTTCAAACAACTTTTAAAGGAGCAAATTGTGGACACCGTATTGTAAACCCACCTATTTTTATGATTTAGCTACTTTTATATTGAATATTAAAACCCAAAAAATATTTTACTAGTACAAGGAAGGAAAGGGTGTATGTAAAATATCAACCCAGAGATGGTTAAAATCTCAAAATGGTGTGTCCACAGAATGACTTTTTTTTAATCATTAATTGATTTCATTGAGAGACACGTTCTTTGGGGGGTTCTAATGTATATATGGATTCAATAAGTGATAATTGGCCATTGAGATTATCAAAAACATCTTCCTTAATTTCAAACATTGTCTAAAATTGCACCTTTCATGAGTTGCAATTCAAATATGCACATAGTTTCTGCATGACTTTTCACAAATCTTCCTGCACAATTATCGCTGTACTTTGGTTATTAATAAAAAATGTTCCACCCACAAGCAAGTGTCTTGTTATTAACCCTTACTCTATCACCCATGAAGAGAGATAATAGGAGGGTAAAGTCCACAAGCTCGCTCTGATAATGGGGGGCCCAGGGAACCCTGTTCTATTTATTCTATACGTCCTCATTTTATTATTTCTCCTTGTAGATTTGGGGTATTATAAAGACAATTTTGAAGTGGTATTACCCAATTAGAACGTTTATCATTTCTGAGCATTACCATGAAAGATTTCATTAGAATTATCACAATACAACCAGAGCTTAGAGGATAATCACAAAAGTGTTTAAGGGAGGCTTCAAGCACCAAAGCTTAAGCTTAATTAAGTGGTTAGGGCGCATAGAGAATGTTTCTGCTGTTACACAGCCTTCTAAAAAATAACCTACATTTTTTAGATTCCCTAATTGGAAAGTGTGTGTAATTTTGTGTTTAAATTTTTTCTGCATTCTTAATTGTCTGCTAGAGCCCACAGCAGCCTCTTGTGTGTGATTAAAGAGTAGGAGTTAATGGCAGAGAATTGAGAAGTGAGACTGATCTATACACCAAAACCATTTGATCAAGCTAAAGTTTTTTTGGTGTCCTTTTAGAGTGTCCTTTTAATTGTATAATGAAAGCCATTGGTTAGAAAACTTCAAAGATGTAACAGTCACGTTCATGAATTAGAAAATAAATGCCCAACAATCTGCACTTACACGATAATTAGTTATTGTCAGGAATTAGGAGTTAATTTCATATTGTAGGCCAAAACTGCTGAACTTTGAATGGCAAAACTGAGGATAAAACAATTATTTGGGAATAATCCAATACAGTCACAGCTTGTCTAGGTTTACTATTCAGTTTAAGTAGGGGGACTCTCCACTGCCCAAATACAAAAAATAGTTTTTTTTTTTTTAAATTACTATTTAGTAGATATAGTCCCAATGAAGATATGCATGCATGTATTGATGCATTTTTATTGGAGTTATATCTAAAACAGTTTGCAAAATCTGCAGCTCTCTTGTCTGCTGCCATTACAAGCCCTCCCCTTCTAACCCCGCCCATACTTTTTGTGGCTGTCCAATCACAGACTTCCCAATGCAGCTCAATGAGAAGTCTGTGCAAGGCAGGTGCTCTGGGCAATTGCTGCCTCTTGAATTTAGCTCCACTGAGCTAACCAAACCAGGAAGTAACAGGATTGATGGTCTGATTTACAGCCAGGGGGTGTAATAAAGTTAATTTCTTTAACTGAAATCTTGAATTTAGTGATTAGAAAAGGCAGTCTATATTGTTACCTTTCTGATATCTTGGCCTAAAATTTAAATTCACTTAAAATTCCCGACAGCTAACATTTTAGGGGTTGGTTCATTATATTTTGAATTGTAGTGAATTGAAATCCAAATTGCAGATTTTTTATTGTTTGGGAAAATTCTCCAACTCAGCTCTAGTCACAACTTGGCTATTTTTGTCATTTGGATTTCAATTCTCCACAATTCAGAATTTAGTACATACATCCTTGTTAACCCCTTAAGGACACATGACATGTGTGACATGTCATGATTCCTTTTTATTCCAGAACTTTGGTCCTTAAGTGGTTAACCTGATTAGTACCTTTACCTGAATACCACAGAAAAGGTTCAGGATAAATTAAAAACTGTTATAAATGGGCCCTAGAAATGTATGGTCCGATCTCCTCATTGTACAACCAACAACATGACATTACCTGATACGGGTAAAAACTACCTTTACCCGAATGCCACAGATACATTTCAAGAAAAAAAATGGAGAAACTATTATAAATGGGCCAATTCTTGTATTGTAAGATCTGCTCATTGTAAAACCTGCAACAAATATTACCTTATACAGGTAAAATTTGCTAACACATGATACAGGTGATTGATTAGATTATATGACACAGGTGACCAGTTATAATATGATACAGGTGATTAGTGATATTATGATACAGGTGATTATATTATCTGATACAGGTGATTAGTGATATTACCTGATACAGGTGATTAATAATATGACCTGATATTATTACCATTTATATATCGCTGACATCTTCCATAGCGCTTTAGAATATTTCACACCAGATAAAACAGCAAACAAGAGACCAACTATTACATATGATAACAGGTGCACTGTGTCAGAGGTTTATGATGGTGCAGCTCAAATGGGTTTATAGTCTGGCAAATCCATAGGATAAATCTCACACAAGATACATTTTTAAGGTGAGAAAATATGAGCCCTAGGGGTAAAATGTATCACACCTTTATTAAAAGACACATTTATTTAAACCCAGAGATGTGTTAGCAGTAGGACCAGACAAGTGATATCACAGCTCTCTCTGTATATGCTGATCTGGCTTATTGTCTGTGTCTGCTGTTCCTGTAATGAGCTTTTCCTCACTGCCTGTCTGTCTGTGACCTATGTTGCTCACAGGCTGCTTGCTGCTCAGTGCACACAGCAGGCTCACACCCCCTCTCTATATTCTCTATCTATGCAGCCTTGATTGACAGCTTGTGCAGAAGGTCTGCTGACGTCAGAGCTGGCTCTGGTTGCCAGGGGCAACCCATTTGGCAAGGAGCTGTGAAGAGAGAGAGAGGCAGACAGAAGCCCTGCCCAGGAGACCTCCTGCAGCTCTGACGTCAATGGACGTCAACCCTGAGAACATGATGCCTTGTGCAAGCTGCAGAGCCTTACCCAGAGCTGTTCACTGGTTTCC